TCGATCCAGCCTGTCCAGGTCCCTCTTCATCAGGGTAGAAGTATGCAACACCTTGTTTATACTGACCTGACTCATGCTGGGACTTGTTTCGGGTGTCGTTTCTTAATTTTGCTCCTTATATTATAAGACTCTGAACAGCGCACGCATGTGTGTGTATATATATATACATACAATATGCATATGCGTGTAGAAGATTTCGTGCTGTCTATTCAATGAACAAATGCTCAGTATAATTTTATGTTTAAACTATGCAGGATTCTACCATTTTGAAACTTACCAGCACAAAAGCTTTCTGAGAACATGAAAGCAAATGTTTGTATGGGGTAAAATTCTACTTTCCTAAACAACATGATTTCTGTTTTTATAGCTGATTGTCTTTCTTAATAGGAGTTCAACTGTTGTGTTTTTGTGATACAACTTGGCACTAAAATGGACTGTGTGCCAGATGAGACAAGCAAATCATGCCGTTTCTTTTCATGTGTTTATTCTATTAATAAATAATATTCAGTGAATAGACTTTCATTTTCAGATGACAGGAATAAAGCAAACCCCAAAGCAACTTCCCCTCCAAGTGGAAAGTCCAAATGATGACTCACCAGTGCCATATTTTGTGACTATTATGCTTTCTCATCTCCTGGAAATAATTCTAAGCTTTAACTCTTTATATGGAACTCCTAAGATAAGAATTTGTATACTCTAAGTCTGTTTCTCAATTTTTCTCTGTCTAGTGGAGTTGTAAACTAAACTGAAGTGTAATTGTCGTATTACATGGTGAAACCTACTCAGAGTTGTCTTCAGAATGCTTGGACCTTGACAAATGACTGTTGGTTTGGTTTTTTTTTTTTTTAATTTGTCTTAGCATAACATACAATCCCAACCAAAAATGGATAGTTAATGATTTAATGGAAAATACGTGAGCAGTGTAATAATATGTACTGTTCCTGTGTCTTTCAGAAATGATTATGAGGAACTAGCTCAACAGTGCAAAACCTTTGCTAAAGATTTGCTTGCACAAGCACGGAATTCACGGGAGCTGGAAGTTATTCTGAATCACACATCTAGCGATGAACATGTAGACAAGCGAGGATTGTTGGAAGAGAGGATGAACTTAAGCCGCTTAAAACTTGCAATCAAGTATAATCAAAAAGAGGTTTGTCTTTGCTGTAATTTGATAGGCTCTCCATATCATATTTTGCTAGTAATTAATTTAATTTGTTGTTCTGCCTCTAGACATAGAAGTGGAAATAAATTTTCAAGTTATAGAAGAGATGGTAATACACAGAACATCTGCATGTGAAACAGGGAAATGATATTGCAAGATACTGAGTGTTTCTTCAGTATTTACTGTGGAGAAGAATTTTCTGTATTGGAGTATAGACTACTGCTCTTTTATGAACAGCTCTGGTAGTGGTAATTATTTGTTTGGATTCTCATTAAATCCTTACCTAGGGAAGCATGGATCCTTAGGTGCCATACATGATTTATCATCTTCTCGCTTGTCATTAGCTGTTCAGCTTTGGCTCAGGCCTCGTCTGTGCTGTTCAGTAATTACGTTAGACCTATGCTGGTATAACTGAATAGTGCCTCTGTTCCAGAATAGTAGCGCCTTTTTATGCTATCACTGTGGAACTTATTTCATGCAGTAGGTCATTGTTGTCTTTATTCCTTGACAAATTATAACTCTAGTTTTGCTGTACTGGAAGGCAAATAGGAGTTTGTGGGATTCTAGTATAAGGACTGGGGACAGAGAGAAAGTTTCCTTTCCATGCAAAATCCATTTTCAGTTAGCATTTGCAGAAGGCATTATAATTCTGTCTGTTCTATATATCTAGGATTAAACCATTTGTGAAACTTAAAATACATAGTGTTTAAAAGTCATAAGCCATAGTTATGGGATGTCCTAGAACTAGCATTACACGTTTCTCGTATGCATTAAACAAGCATACTGAAGTATTTCAGATGTTCTTCTGGTTTTGAGCATAGCTTGTTTTTACCACAGTGATTGGAGAACAACAACATTTTTTGTGTGGTATGAGGAAAGTATCTTTGCAGAATATGTTTTATTCTTGGCAAATTTACTATAGAGACAGTATTTTTGTGATGCTTTCTAAAATGTGATGGTAATATAAAGGTTCTTTTTGTTGATATTTTTTAAATTAAATGACAAACCATCCTCTAGTGAAATATATTCTTTTGTAACTCTATGCAAATAAGCACGTGAAATTTGAAACTACGTTTGCATAATCTACATAACCTTCAGACCAAAATGATCTTTTTTTGAGGGACTGATACAACATAGCTTACTCTGATTTAAAATTAACCCTGCTGAATAGAGTCATAATGATTTTAAGAACTGATATGTATAAAACTGCTTGGCCACTTTAGTCCTCATACACCTCTTACAAGGTGTTGTGTTTTGCAATGTGGATAGTATTTTACAATAACAGTATCTTATTCTTCAGATAAGATCACTGTATTTTATAATGACAGACAATGAAGCTGTCTGAGGTGTATGATGTTATTTATGTGCTAGATTTCTAAACAAATAGAAATCAAAACTAATTCTTAACTTGAAAACTATTAAAAAGTCTAGTATGTGTAATATATGTTTAGTTGCTGGCTTTAGAAGGAAGTTAAAATAATTGATGTTTATAATCATAGTGGGTCCATAGCACTTTTGTTCTCTTAGGAGATAATTATTTTAACTTGATATTCTTGCCTTTTCCTGTTCATTGGTAACTACATGTCGTTTGAAAATGAATTTTAATAATGTAAATTAATAATCTGTATTAAGAAAACTGAGACTGATTTCTTGTTTGTTTCTTTCCCCCCCCAGTTTGTTGCTCAGTCTAACTGCCAGCAGTTTCTAAACACTGTATGGTTTGGACAGATGGCAGGCTATCGGCGCAAGCACACATGCAAGAAAATTTTGACTGTTTTGACGGTTGGCATTTTCTGGCCAGTTCTGTCCCTGTGTTACTTGTTAGCCCCTAAATCTCGAGTAGGTCGAATAATTCACACTCCTTTTATGAAGTTTATTATTCATGGAGCTTCATATTTCACATTTCTGTTATTACTTAATTTGTACTCCCTTGTCTACAATGAGAATAAGAAGAATACAATGGGACCAGCCCTTGAGAGAATAGACTATCTTCTGATAATATGGCTAATTGGTAGGTATGATTTGAGTAGATTGGATGACAATTGCTGATGTTGATTGAACAATGATGATTTGTACTACCTTCTTATGAAATCAGCATGTTACTCATTGCTTGGCCGAAGTTTGCTCTTTGGAGGATAGAGTTACAGGAAAAAAAAAAACCAAACACGTTTTGAGGAAAGGATGTGAAGTGTTACAACGATCTCTAGTTATCGCAGAAAGTGAAGTACCAGAAACAGAATGTTGTAGGACCTAAGAGAGGAGGAATGTGATTTTTTTCTTCAGAAGGACCAGTAGCATTCAGAGTGATGCAAGTGAGATTCAGTTGTGCAATAACAAATTAATGTAAAAGCTGTGTATCTTCCTAGACATTTTTAAATCCTGATCTTAAAAAGGTAAAATAGCATGAAGGCAAAGCAAGTGTGTGTTCCTCAGATTATTAGTTTTGTAACAGAGAAAAGCCTGTCATAAACTAGTTTTCCTTGGTGCTCAGTTGAGGAATAAAATTAATTCAGACATCACTTCAGATTTTTTTTCCCATAACTTTTCATGCATAGGTAGTAGTATTTAGTATGTAGGTGGTTTAATCACTGTGAGTCAAACTTGTTTTGTTTTTTCATCAGCCAACAATCCACAAAACTTTTAATTTCTTCCAGCTCACTTTTACAAGAAGTGTTTGGACAATACTGTTAGATGTATGGTTTAACTTTTAGGTTGCCTTGTGTGGGGTCACTAGTTGGACTTGATGATCCGTATGGGTCCCTTCCAATTCAGGATATTCCATGATTCTATGAATTCTATAAAAAATGTAGGAATGATCTGAGCTTCTTGATTACTTGTGTGTCTGTCTATGGAATTATGCTAGAATCTGAATATTACTAGTAAAATTATTGTTTCTTTGAAAATCTAGCTAAGATCTTTATGTAATTGTAAAGTAGATTAAAAGTATTTGTGCATTGTATGCAAGTTAATTATATTTTTTCTGGATTGTAAATACTTGGAGTAAGCATGCAGTGACAGTCATAAAATCAATTCCTGGACTGTTTTCATTTCTATTTTAATATGCTCTAACTAGATAGAACAGGAGGATTCTGTACATTTTGGTTGGACTAATCCAACTTTAAACAATTGCCAAAATTTAGGGTTCTGCAAAATCTCTTTCATAGTTGTAAACGTGAAATTTTTATAGCATTCTACTCAGCTCAGGGAGAGGTCTTTGAATATATATACAAAATTGCCAGTTTAGTGGTACATCAACAATAAGTAACAGCTCAGTCTTTCATGGCCAATTCTGTAATACTTGATTTGAAAAGTGATTAATGCTACAATTTGGACTTGTTGCAGAGTTGGCATATTGTTTAAAGAAAAAAGTGTATGTTTATTTATGCATATGTATGCATGCATACTCCATCTTAGTCTAATAAATTGAAGGTATGCATTTACCTCATCCTTCTTTTAAAACACAGAAACAAGTATTATTTTCCCATATTATAATTTTCCATTTCTGTATGTCATTGTCACCGATTATCATAACTGTACCTGAAAGGATGCATGTTAATTCTGGTTGATGCAGTAGAGGGAGCAGAGGTATAATTTTTGTTGAGTACTCATGAACTTTTGTTTTGGTTGGAATTTCATAAAACCTTTTAACATGTGTTTGGTTGGTTGGTGTGTGTTTGTTTTTACATTAAAATTTGGTAGATAAATTCATGGAAACTTATACCTTAATGTAAGGGAGTTAGATATGTATCGTTTGTTTGACTGGACTTGTAAAAAGCAATGATATAGTCAAAACCACCACAGTTTTTATCTAAGTAGTTGTGGGTGGTTTATTTGCTATTTTAGGGTGGGGTTTTTTTGTAATGGTGGTTCCTTTCATTGTTGAGCTATACTAAAACTGTTGAGTAGTTCATGCAGATTTTGGAAATACCCAGTACAAACGCTTGCAGGTCTTAAAAGAAACTTGATAACTTCAAATGTAGAGTACAAATCAGTGTTACAGACTCCTCCTTTGTTTTGAGATTAAATGCCTGATTTTAGAAGTTCTTTTGTTCCATCAAATCTAATGTAGGCAGAAAGTGTGTCATTAGGTGGTCTTGGAAATTTTAATGAAACGCTGTAGAAACGTTTTATTTTCTTCAAGTAGTATTTTAACGTGGATTTCAGATAGGATTGAAAAATGACCTATAAGTAACATAAATAATTAAAACCAGATTATTTTTCACATTACTGAATCTTAAGATTTTTTTAAATAGTAATTGCACTTACAGCTTAAATGCATATTTTGTAATGACATATTGTTCTATTTCCTTACAAATATTCAGTAAGTTGGAAAAGAATGTATTTAGAAAACGTGTGACAAAATCAACTGGAATTAAAAGAACCAAGTAACGAGGATTTACCTACGTTACCGCCTTCCATAGTCCCATTAAAATACTTTCTAAAAATCAATGTCAAAATGGCCACAGCAGAATTTCTAACACTTAAAGTTAGCAGCAAATTTTGTGTTCTGCTAGATTAACTTTCAAAATCACGAATACAGTAATTCTCTTTTCTAAGTTATTGAGCCTAAGTCATACAAGTGTATTCCCCAGCAAAATAAAGCAACAGAACTCAAATTTGTGTGTGTGTAAATAACATCAATTATAGCATCTCCCGTTTTTCCAACTCCTTTTACTGATTCTGTAACAAATTTAGTGTAAAATACATGGTGATCATATGGAGGGGCACAGAGGTTTTGGTTTAGAAATATTTTCTTTATAACTAGGAAGAAGAGAGATTTATATAAGTCTTTTAACAAACTATGCACAGCAGACTTTTTTTTATTATGCCTTCCAACATTGCGGCAAAGCTAACTGAACAAATAAAGTCATACATAAGTATCTGATTTTTTTTTTTTTCCCATTCACTGGATCTTGCTCTTACTGGGCCAAAGTTTTAGAGAAGTTGCAAAGTCCTAAAAGCTGAACCAAGTCTAACAGTTTTTAACTACCATTTATACACATGCTGCTTTTCTTCTTGTCCTAAATATAGTAGCATATATCTGAAGTACTCAAAAAAACATTAAATAACTGATTATTCATAGAAATCAAAGGTGCCATTATATTTCATCAACGGTCCTTTCAAGTTTTATAAAAAAGTCAAGTCTGTAACAGACATTCAGTTAGTAAAATTCTTAGCAGCTCTATTTTTCTGTACAGCCAGACAGGTTAACAATGGTAAAATTCAGTTTGCTGTAAAGATCCTGAATATTTAAATGTATGTTGCTCTAACTTAAACTTCTAATTTTTGCAATCTTAAGTCATGGTCTCTTTTCTCTGCTAATGTTGTTTAGTATCAGTTAGGGTAGGAAAAGTTTCTACTTTTTGGATCTTTTCATTTAGTTTACTGAGCTGACTATTCTTAAAAAACGTTTTATAATACCTACACACTTCCAAAAAATACTTGTTACTTTATATAGCAATGTAATGCTTTCTATAGTGCTTTTGGAAAAAGGTGACTACTTTTCAATCAGAGAAAGCATTTGTATTCTAGCTTTCTACCTTTATTTAAATTTGACCTTTTCCTGTCCCAATTTTTCTCCTATTGATTTCCTCTTATGCCATTTTTTGTTGGAGAATGTGTTTCTTAGTTGGAAGGTAGGCTTGAAAAGGTTAAACATCTTGTTGCCTTATGATTAATGCTTGTAATCCAATGCAATGCTTTTAGTAAATTTACTTGATTACTTCACTTCTTTCTCTTTGCTAAAATATCATTTACAAAAGTCAGTCAGAAGTGCTTTAGTTGTAAAAGAATATCTATTCAATACAATGGCTTGACTTGCCTGACTGTACTTTTTTTTCCTGCAGGAATGGTGTGGTCAGATGTTAAAAGACTCTGGTATGATGGTTTAGAAGACTTTTTAGAAGAATCCCGTAATCAGCTTAGTTTTGTCATGAATTCCCTGTATTTGGCAACTTTTGCCCTCAAAGTCGTTGCCCATAACAAGGTGAGCACCCATCTCCATAGATCCAAAGCTCCTCTGGGACTGACTGGGCAAATACAATTTTAGTACATTGCTGCAAAATATGTGAAGATATGTTACACGGGGTATGTAAGTAGTAGTATGTTGTAGTTAAGTGTACTACATTAGTAATAGCCTACTATGTGGATACAGTTTAGGCTTCCAAGTTAAATGTTCGATGTGGTATATGCTGTGTAGTTGTCGACATCTCTCGTCTTGTTGCATCTCGCGCTTGAAAGAGAAGTTAATGAGGTAAATGGGAGTTAGAAAACACATAAAGACATGTCCAAGTACTCAGCGACCCCGAACAGAGCTACTGTCTTCCTTGTAAGAACTGGCTGGTCTTCCAAGTGGCTTGATTTTCATTTGGGGAAATCTCCCCATACAGCTCATCTGATTTGGCATTTGAGCTCGTCTGATTCCATAGATCAGTACTATGCAGAAAGCTAATAGTAATCTCTGTGTTTAGATTGCCTAATGCTTTTTTTGTAACAGAAAGTTTTATTTAGCTTTTGATTACATATGCTCAAATGTCATAAGTGGCTGTGGTTTGTTTTGGGTTTTTTTAAATTGTTTTTTGTTTGGCGGGGTTTTTTTTGTTTGGGGGTTTTTTTTTGGGTAGTAAGGAAAAAGGCCCGAAGACCATAGAGGAGCCTTGTCTTTTCTCTGTGAAAAGCCATCTGGATTTGATCGAAGATACAAGTTTTGAAAATGGTCATTCCCATTCTGTTGCCTGTGTTGTTAGCTGCACAGCATATGGCAAGCTGCCAGACCAATTGAATATGAATATTTTAGCAAAATTCAAGCCAGTGCAGTAGCACCATTATTTTGTATTGCAAACTGTGAGTTGACAGCTGTCTGGCAGTTGGGAGGGAAATAAACTGGTTCAGTTCTTCCCAGCTTGGTGTTTGGCTCATTTACCTATCCTTCCATTGATTCAGAGGCTGGTAATCATTTGGAAAGGAAAGCTCCATTTCTTGGAAAAAATAGAGAGCGAGTGCCATGTTGGGCTGCCTTCCCAACCATTTGCTTTGCAACAAGCACGTGTGTAGTAGTAGTGCCTTTGTTGAGATAAGAGCCCTTTGCTGCTAATTTAAGTTGTAACCTTTTTGAAAATGCAGGACTCCTGTCCTATGTAACAGGCACATGATTACTTTTTTTGCCACTTTTCTATGGCAAAATTTATTTTTATAGTTTATAAATCATTTAGAAAACCAAATAAAAATGCTTGGTTTACATCTTAGGTCCATATTATAGGCACTGAAGCTGTAAGAAATAAAGGAAGAGTCTCTGTAGCAGAAGGATTTGTACACATGCAATTGCAATGTATAAAAACATGTTTATCCCTGTTTCTTGCCATCTTTGTGCAGCACACTTTCGGGCAAGTTATTTTAAAGCAGCTTTGAGTTCCTTAGTTTTGAATGTCCATTTTGAGACAGCAGAACCTGGTAATATAAACGCTGAATGTTTTCAGCCAAGCCGGAAGTTAGGGATCTGTGGATATTCCGTGAATAGTTGCATAGTACCTAGTGGATATACTTTAAGGGTGTGTTTACACCAACAGTTTACTTCCATTCCATTGTGTCTTCCATTCTCTGTAGTCGTTCATAAAATCCATTGAAGGAACCCCAGGTCCTAAGTCTTTCGAAATCTTTCTAAAGCTGGTTAAGACAAGCTGTCACCACATTGCAATTGGATGTGTATGTTAGTTTTCTTTGCAGCATTTTAATGTTGTTTTTGACTGAGGTGTATTACACTAGACAATGCACATGTTTATAAAGTACACGCGTCCCTGTTTCAACAAGCCATGCAAAACAGAGTAGAAGAGATAGCAGAACAGGGGAATAAATGGTTTGCTGGGCAAGTGAGTGGCAAAATTAGGTGTTGAATTTCAATCATCTGATTTCTGGCTCCCTCTGGGGGAATGGCTTTTAAAATGCCTTTGGCTAAAAAGAGTGAGATATCTGAAAGAGGTAAGCCATCTATGAATCGTATGTGTATTATCGTATGATAATTTCTTTTATGTTATTGCCTGTTTTGGAGGCAGAAGTAGGGAGCGGTGCATGGGTGCATTTCTGTATTTACAATGTCAGTGATGTCAGTTTGTCCTTTTTATATTGCAGTTTCATGATTATGCTGAAAGGAAGGACTGGGATGCATTCCATCCTACCCTAGTGGCAGAAGGTCTTTTTGCTTTTGCTAATGTTCTTAGTTATCTGCGTCTCTTCTTCATGTACACAACCAGCTCTATTCTGGGACCACTCCAGGTGAATATCATTGCTGCTTGAGAAAATATTAAAATTGATCTTAATTTGCTGTGAGGAGTCTTATAGAAAAGAGAGAAAGAAGAAATTAAAGAAAGTAAGTCAGAAAGTAAGAAGTAGAAAGAAGTGATACTGCATTGAGGTTTGTTTTTTTAAATCTGTCCTGTAAAACATACTGATTGAGATGGAAAAAGGTAAGAAAAAGAATGGAAGACCTAGTGTAGTTCACTTTCTTATAATATTTTTTCCATGATAACTGTACCTATACTGTCTTTTTGTTTTCATCTGTTACTAGCTTAACATACTGTGTAAGTGTCTGCAGTTTGAAAACTGTAAGGATCAGGTTCTTCCTGTAAAGTTCTATGCAAATGATTGTCTTAGCTTATCTCTAAAAGATAGATGAATGAAATATGTAGCAAGGGAGGAGTAATCAAAAGCCTTTCTGTCTATGTCTGTGATCTCACTGAAGTTGCACATTGAGTTGAATTGTGTAAATTGCTTTGGTTTGAAAAATATAAATCTCTCAAGAGTATTGAAATAGTCATCTATTTATAGCCAGTTATAAGAAGGGAAACAGGTTTCTTCTTACTTGGGATTTGCCGGAGCCTTCCAGTGAGTAATAATGACGGTAAAAAAACACATTTTAATTATGTAATACATTTAGTTCAGTCATCCGGAGATGGTGGGGAGAAGCATTAATAGTCTTGTGTTGTGATGCTGGAACAGTAGAGACCACAACGGTTTCTAGGCTAAATTTAAACTTATCACTTTAAGTTGGAATTTAACCTGGTTTTGTGCAAAAAATTTAATTTTCTTTTCCTGATTTGAGAGCAGACATGGAGTTTTCTACTGAGTTTATGCCATGGAGTATTTTTTGTTGAGTTGGTTTCTTTTTTTAAGCACAGACCCTCTCATCTTTGTCTTGGTGCTATTTGTCATGATAAACTTCAGATAAACTGGATGGACCTGAGGGCGCAATATGACACTATACAGAAGGCCTGCTACTTTTGAGGGTAGAGGAGGGAACCTGGACTATTATTAGGATATCACGTTTAGGATGCAATTACCTCCCTCAATCCTTTTTAGATTAAAAGGAGGAAGAAAGCTTCCTTCTAAAAAAATATTGTGAGTAGAAGTCACCTCTTATTCCACTAGCAACATTTTTTTCCCTTCTGTGGTTTTTCTGTTCAGCTTGAGTCCTCAGCACTGACTGATTTTGTTACTTTGCCAGTGAAAAGCCCTTACAAACTGAAGCACCTGCTATTAAAAGCATAGCTTACTGAAAAAAGCATTGTGTAGGTTTACTTCCAGCTTCTCTGACCTTGCTTCCTGGGAGACTTATGATGACAAATCAGATCAGACAAGTCACTGCTTTCTTGTACCAATGATTTTTTTTCTTTAATTCCCACCCCCCCACCCCCCCCCGATAGTGATGTGATTTAGTTGATATAGCTGGTTGTCAACATCATCACTGGGTTTGCAAGTGTCTGTTGAATGAAAAGACGCTTGGAATAAATAGGGTAGTCATCCAGTGATTATACTGATGGAATTTGTCGTAATAGGTCAGATCAATGCTTTGTCCTCTATTCTAATGAACAGGACTAGTTTTAAGCGCTTTGTGGCAAGAGGATGATCTGAAAGGATTCTGCGAGAAACGTTATCGCTATTAAGCATAAAGGCAGAATAAATATTTGGGAGCAGCATTTTTTTTATAGCTCTGCAACTAGAGCTATACCAAAGGAGGTGCTGAAGTAAATAATTTTGGCTTTAGGATCTAGCTGAAAACCTCCAGCTTGAAGGTTCAGCTCATTTTCGTGTTAGAGTACTTTATCTTGCTGCACAAATAATTGTCTTTTAGAACATTTTTGTTTCATACAGAATAGTCCTTCTTTGAAAAGAAAAACAATCGCTTGTTAAATTGGTCTTTTTAAAATAATTGTAAAAAGTGCTTTAAAAAGAATGTTCATAGTTCTTGTAACCAGTTTAATATTATTGGAAGATGCCTGTTTCTCCTCTCAGGGTTTTGTTTGTTTTACTTCTTGCCCTTTTCTCTCTAGTTGTGACTATGTTGCTGTTAATTATTTTTATATTTTTTTCTTTTATGCATTTTTAAATGGAAACTTGCATAATTTGAAAAAATACTAACGTTTTGGTGTTACAGTAGGCATTAGGCTTATTATACAAATTGATTGAACACTAAAGTCTCTCCACATTTTAGAGGGATTCACTGTTTAATGTGCATATTTGTTTATGTACTAGATCTTTCACAAGTTTTTTATTAGGAGGCTATGTTATGAAATTTTCCAAGTAAATAAAAACAGTCAACAGTCAGCCCATTCAGTGGCACACTGAAGTTTATGTTGTTACTGTTGGCCGGTACAGCTTGTGCAACAACTCTTACTGTATTTTCTGAAAGTAGGTCACAAAGTTCAAATGGTGGTAATCAAATATGGCATGGAAACCCAACAGTGTGAAGGGCGGAAGGCAGCTACTATATTCTCTTGGCTATTAGAGTTATTTTTAAGCATTCAGTTACTTTAGTTATTGATTAATAAAACCTATTTCAATAGAGATTTGTAAGTTGGCTGTGTGTGGTGGTTTTTTATTATTAACAGAAGATAGCATAATATTCCCCTAGATTAGAGCATTAGATTTGAAATGCTTAGAAATTCTAAATACTTGGAAAGGAATAGCACGACTATATGAAGAAAGCAACTGGTATTTGGGCTGTGTTGTTACACTCTATTCCAGACAAAATAGTGTTGGGTGGTTTGCACTTTTTGTGCATTCCGGTTTCTTCTACTTTGTCTCTCTCTTGCCTGCAACCATGTATCAGTTAAATGGTAAATGTTTTGTTCTTGGGTTGGGTTTTTTGTCTTTAAAAGGATAGATGTGATGAAACAGTATGGTGGGGATTACATTCATCCTCTGACCAAACAAAATAATTTCTGCATAGCTCTGCCTACAGTTGCAGATTCTCCATGTCTGTGGCAAACTGTACAAAGAATCAGAGAGAATCTGTTGCACAACAGGGGTACTCAGTGAGTTTCCAGCAGGATGGGAGAGAGCAGGAGCTGGCACTTCATCTCCCAGTAACCTTGTACTTGCAAAACCTGACCAGTGATACAATTCTCGACTACGATTTGATACAGATTGTGATTCACATAGGATTAGGCATTCCACACACTGATTTATATAGAGGACTAGATTTACTCAACCCCATTTTGTATATTTGCATTCTTTATAATAATATATTGTTCTTTGAAGAAGTTTGTAGGAAGAGTAATTTAAATGCTGTAAACAGTTTATGCTGTGTCCATGTAAAAATTTGTGGTTACGACAAAAGTAAGTCAAGGTCTTTCTGCGTTGGAAAAATGCACAAGCATAATTTTTTTTTTTTTTTTTAAAAAAGATGCTGTATTTGCACTGTTGCAAGCTTCTGTATAGGATATTTGAAATGGAAACTAATGATCTGAATTTAGTGTCATATCTTCTATACTTTACATCCCTAAATTTTTATGTGCTTACACGCCTACACATTGTGTATATTTAAAATCTTACATAAAACATACAGTGAATTAATTCTGTGTTTTGCAGATGAGCTGTGGTATACTACTTTTTGATTAGTGATGAATTGTGATTCCAAGTGTTTTGATTATTTCAATGTCCTTATTAAGTGTTTTCTTAACTTTCTATGTTGGTATTTATGTTCAAATGCTTTGGTCAAGCCTTGGGCCAGGCTGCCCAGGGAAGTGGTTGAGTCACCATCTCTGGAAGTATTTAAAAGACGTGTAGATGAGGCGCTTAGGGACGTGGTTTAGTGGGCATGGTGGTGTTGGGTTGACGGTTGGACTCGATGATCTTAGAGGTCTTTTCCAACCTTAATGATTCTATGATTCTATGAAATGCATTTTGTTTACTGCTTTTATCTATTGACTTGTGAGTTCCGTATTACCATTGGTATTACAAATAAAGAATAAGGTGTACGTACTATTGCTTATGGTTAATTGAAAGATTTGAACTTATCAAGTGATGTTAAAACTACTTAAATTTTCTTTTAACATCTAGAATTTTTCACTGAAAAATGGTACAAGGGTACCTCCTGATTTTGAGGTCTCTTTAGCATCTTAAATTTTAAGTTAAACATTTAAAATGTGAATAGATTTTTTTTTTTCTTGATTAGAGGCTGAAGGAGAGAATACAAACAAAAATAACTACATGTTTTACTAAAATCGGAAATACATCTATTTCACAGATTTCAATGGGGCAGATGCTACAAGATTTTGGAAAATTTCTGGGCATGTTTCTTCTTGTCTTGTTCTCATTCACAATTGGATTGACCCAACTTTATGATAAAGGATTTACTGTAAATGAAGAAAAGGACTGTGCAGGGATTTTCTGTGAACAACAGAGCAATGACACATTCCATTCGTGAGTTTGATATCTATGAAATAACTATTGTTCTAGCCCGTAATTCCTAGTAATTAAACAAAACGAATTTTTCACTGAACTTGAGTTTACATTAAGTAAACTCACTTCTAGTGTTTACTTTATCTAACCAGATTTTTTTTTCTTGTTTTTGTAGGTTTATTGGCACATGTTTTGCTCTGTTCTGGTATATATTCTCCCTGGCACATGTAGCAATCTTTGTCACACGTTTTAGCTATGGTGAAGAATTACAGTCTTTTGTGGGTGCTGTTATTGTTGGTACCTACAATGTGGTGGTTGTGATAGTATTAACTAAACTCCTTGTGGCAATGCTTCATAAAAGTTTTCAGCTGATAGCAGTAAGTAGCTTCTGATTAATTACCAGTAATTGCTAGCTGTATCTTTGGATTTTATACAAATTTCTTCCTACGATGTGTAAACTAATCTACAGACCTCCATGGATGAGCTGTCTCTGAGCTCACAATCTTTCCTTCAAATACGAGCTTTTTATTTACTTTAATCCAAATAAAATGGGTACTTTGCATGTTGAACATGTGCAAGGCTTTGGCCTTCTGGGAATTGAAGAATTTCGTGATACGGTGGCTGTTCAAGTCAAGATGCTGTTCTTGATAAGGTGTGCTGCGTGGGAATTTGATAGGGTGTTTACACCTTCATAGCTGAATTTTATATTTACACTAGAGTATCTAATGAATTGAAGAGATTTGTTTTGTATTTTACTTATTTAATATTGGTAACAAATTTATTAAAATATATAATCTATATATTAAAATACTATATAATCAAAGTTAAATAACGGTCAGTTTTTAAGTTATGAGAAAATAGAAGTTACGAAATAGCCTGTTAATATTTTTGCTTCTGATCTCTGTTAATGTTTCTGATGCTTTAGAATCATGAAGATAAGGAATGGAAGTTTGCTCGTGCCAAGCTTTGGCTTAGCTACTTTGATGACAAATGCACGCTACCTCCACCTTTCAATGTTATTCCCTCTCCCAAGACTATCTGTTATCTTTTCAACAGTCTCAGTAAATGGATCTGCTCTCATACATCAAGTGGCAAAGTGAAACGTCAGAACAGCCTAAAGGTAAGAAATGATTGGGAAAGCTGTAGGCTCTGAAGCTGGAAAAGTGCTGCTTGCTAAAATGAATCAGCAAATTGCTGCATGAAGCTGCTTGTCACCTGGTGAGTGCTACTAAGATAAATAGGAATTATAGAATAATGTGTGTTACATCCAAAATATAAATAAATGTTACCTATTTCTACTTAAGTAAGATTCTGTTAACTTTCAGTTTTGGGAATTTCAGCCCCCTTCCCTCCAACCCCCAATTCCCCCAGAAATAGTCTGGAAAAAGTGCTTTGATTGACTGAAAACTCATAGAAACCTCAAGGAAATATGTGCTAATCTCAAAAATGGTGAGGTTACAGTGTCCTTTGGGGAAGGTTTTAAAAGTATTACAGAAGTGTCAAAATAAGTAACCAAAAAGGATTGTCATTGTTGGGGAAGAGAATTTTTTTTTTTTGCTAAATAAATATTTTTATTGTACCCTGTAATTTTGTATACTAATTTTGCATCTTCTTGCTGACAAAAGTAGCATTAAATAAACTAAATTCAAAGACTTTATGGAATGTGCACTGAGAAACACTCAGGATTATGGAACTCTTAGGTGCTCATATGACAATTACCAAGTCAGGTAGATTAAAAATTTTCAGTTTTCCTGGTACAGCAGATTATAATTTAATTTAAATTTTGCTGGCAACTTACATGCATTGTACATTTGTGCACATCAGGATGTATCTATAAAATAGCTTTGTTATTTTGTTCGTATTTATTCTCTGTATAATTGTATATAGGCTTTAGGGCTCAAAAATCACTTTTCCATAGTAAATGTGTAATGTTTGTTTAAAGGAATGGAGAAATCTGAAGCAAAAGAGAGATGAGAATTATCAAAAGGTGATGTGTTGCTTAGTCCACCGTTACTTGACTTCCATGAGACAGAAGATGCAAAGCACGGATCAGGCAACTGTGGAAAACCTAAATGAACTGCGGCAAGACTTGTCAAAATTCCGAAATGAAATGAGAGACCTGCTTGGCTTTCGAACTTCTAAATATGCTATGTTTTATCCAAGAAACTAAGCCCTAACTTTTAAACAAAAAGTGTGTACTTTTAGATACCTATAGGTGAAAGTGTTGACCTAATTCTGTTGCCAGACCAAATAGAAAAGAAGATTATTGCACAATAATACATTTGAAAATGCATTTGCGTGAGTTGCAACTAGATGCGGAAGTGGTGGAAATAAATGCGAAAACAGATATAGTAATTTTCTTAAGCTCTTAATCTTAGTGTGTATATAAAATTTGTATATAGGAATTTTTTTAATGTTCCTCAGACTGTGGCTGTCAGGTATCAGAGCTTCATAACTAGCACAATGTGTTTTTTTCTTCTATTTTTGCTGTTTGTTCCTTTTTGATACTTGTTTTTCAAGTTGTGGGAGAAGATGGGCTTTTTAAGACAAAAATCCAGCCTATGTTTATTTTTAATAGAAAAGTCAGATATAGAATAATAGAAAATTTCCAGCACAGTTGGGAATTATGTTTGACTGTAGGTTACAGTGCATGTGAAGACTGTGTGGCTCTGAAAGAGGCAGTTCTAGTGCCAAGTTTTATATGTTACCATTGACTGTATACTAACATTTATAGAATACAGAAAATCAAATCATCAGGACTCTTCCCTTTCGTGGGAACATTGAAATTTTGAACTCAAAATAGACCAACCATTTCTTGAATATTTATGATTATATGTAAGACAATCAATTCCTGCTTGGATTTTTCAGCGGTGCCTCAAAAGTATGTTTTACTATTCATGTTAAGATTGGGAACAGAATTTTAAAACTAACCTGTGAACTTTTAATGTTTAATATCTTGGGGTTTTAAAATCTGGATGATAAATTATTTGAATTATTTAATTTCAATAATATGAATAATTTTAATTTTTAAAACCTGTGACTTTACAAAAAGGAGGTAGAGCACGTAAGTGCTATTGCTTGCAATGCTGAACAATTCCTGTGGAACGCTGTACACTTCTTTCTGTGAGAACATACATGGAATCTGGTCATTGGACAGATGCGGTTTAGAAGGGCCTGGTTTAGACAGGTTTTACATATCCTACTTTTAAACTTGTCTTTCTTTTTTTCCTTTTTTTTTTTAACCACAGTTGTTGCCAAGCTAAACTTTTTTTTTTGTGTCAGGAATACTATGTTTTGTGAAAACACGTGATTTGACTTTGCTTACAATGGACAGTAAGGGCTTTGTGGATTTTCTGTGCTAGAGGGTCCTATATGGCTTTATATGCTTATATATAATTCAAGTTGACAAATTGTAATTGAGAAATGTGAGATTCCTGTATTTTTAATTATGAAATAAGTATATTTATGACAGCTAAAGGATTGATTGACAATTTTACTGTTATGAAGGTGCTCTTCTAAAATGGTCTTATGTCCAGAAGGCGCAGGTAGCCATAGTGGTCTTTGACTACAGTTGATTTTGGGAGGTTGATAGAGTGGAGGCTTACATGAATGTTTACTTTTTTGAAGGAATTCTTATAAAACTCTTTCTTGTAAAGGTAATATATTTTCTGTACTATGAAATTATGTATATCTGAACTAGGATTTAATACTCTGCTTCCAGAAGTCTTATAGTATAGAGGTATTCTGGTAGGTCTGTTGGCTTTTCATGTGAATAAGAAGCTAACCTCTTGTGTTCAAAGCAAAGAGGATCACTGAGTTTTGTATTTGGACTCACATCTTGTGTTTGAATAATACCCCAACATAAAAACTGTGTGTTGTGTATGTTATGTATATCCAAGAAAGGAAGCAGATAAATAAAAGCTCTTTGAGAAATATGGTTGTATTAATATTAGTCATATTTGAAACACATTATATCAGGTACCATATTGAAAGTAATTTCTTTGTCATGTTAAGATAATAAATTTAAAGAAGGTAGCTGGTATTAATGTGTTACTACCTTTTTTCCTATTAAATTTATTTAAATGGCTTCATGCAGTGCCATGAAGTGATACCTGAGCTACTTCCAAACAAGCTAGATGGGATTCTAGATGCAGTATTAGCTGCTTGGCGCTCGGCTTACACTGATTAGTTCCTCTGGAAAGCTGGGAATGTTTATCTGTGTGAAGCAGCATGCTAATTTAGCTATTCTTATTGCTTTTGATATGTTAAGCGGAGTCACTCAGGGCTAGCTCGGTCGTTGTCACGTGGCACTGTGTTCTACTACAGTGTAGATGTGTCCTTAGGAAGAATTGTCCTATTTCAAGGCACTTTTGGGGGGTTTGGATTGGATCTGGGGGTTGCAGAGTTTTTATTTGTCCCTGGAATACATCCTTATAAAGTGATAGATACCAGAGAGAGAAGTTTGTTCTCTGTAGTACCTTAGTTGTGTGACACTTTGCATCTCTGCCTTGTTTGAAAGCTGTTGCAGTCTTCCTATCTTGGCTACTAACCAGTACAGAGTGCTTTGTACTATTTAATCAATCTTGTCTTATCATTTAGATTTTCCTAGTTCACGTGTATTAAACATGCTATTGCTTTCTCATTTGCCAATTTAATACTGGCTGTTCCAGAAGTAGTGTGCAGATGTTGGGGCTCTGAGATCTCCCTTATGCACACTCACAGAATGGTTCTGGACATGCACAGAGACAAAATTTTAGGTGTCTGTGATTCTTCTTTGAACTGGGATGACAAAAAAAGAAAAGTTTGGAGAAGCTGGAGTTTACTCGGCTATAGGATTCATAATTTCTTTGTACAAATTTTAGTGCAAGTCATGAAAGGACTAAGTGGGTTTTTTGAGAGTAATGAAAAATTTTTCTTGAAAGATTTTTCTTTCTTTTCATGTTAATGTCTGTTTTGTCTTAGAGTTAACTTTGCCTTGATGAATGAAAAATGGAGATGGAAATTTTCATACTACCTCCATTTGCAGCAGAAGGGTCAAAACCATTCATTACTGAAAGTCAGCTTACTTTATGCTCTTGCTAAACTATGGTTTTGATTATTATTTCTATTGAAATTGTTTCAGAAATTGTATGGCGGTTAGATAATTGATTCTGTTTGGTTGAAGTCGGATTTTAAATGTCTGAAGTTTACAGTCATTACATCTGCTTTTAAAAACTTGTAATAGTGTTACCTGTGTTTAGTAACCGATTCTTACTTGAGAAAACTGGCACTGCTCTGTGTTTAAGTCCTGGCTCCTGTTCCCTGTTGCAGGGCTACTGCTGCCGGTGCTTTGATTTGGGAAAGAAACTAGTCTAAAGGGAGTGTTGAGAAGAGCAGGCTGGAGCTTTCCCTACCTACCATTTGGGAGAGGAGGAGCAGGCTGCCAGACTCTTCTTGCATCACTGAAAAAAGTTGCATGACAGATGGTCCTGTCATCATAAATAAAAATAAATTATTGTAGTTCAAAACAGTTCTGAGCATGATTTCCACATTGCTTCTCCCCAGGCTGCTGCTGAGAAATACAGAGAGCACCGTGCATAAAACCCCTTAATTTGCATAGGAATCAATACTGGAAAATTAAAATTACAATTTAAAAATTTTAAAATTACAAAATTACATCTACTTTGCAAACAAATGTTGCTGTCATTTCCATAGAGAAACGCTGTTTGGTTTAGTCAGTAAGGCAAAGGCCTAGCAATCTGTACAATGTGGTTACAGCACTGAGCTCTTTGATATGAGCTGCCAGCACAGCCTTTTTGTACCTTTGTGCCCCCCTCTGATTCTTTTGTCTCCTGCCTAGCTACCTGTTAAGTCTTCGGAACAGATGCTGCTGTGCTGTTGAGTTGCACTGTGGCAGTACCTCTTGGCATTACATATGAGAATCAATAATCGAAGAATAATGGCAATCCACATTCCACTACTGAAATAAGCAATGAGTGCTTAGAATAAGGACTGTATCTTTCATTACAGTTTCCTGCCCATGGTTACAGATTACCAAAAGAACTCTGCTATGGTATTGATATACAAGGAAAACAAGTACTTAAAGGGATCTTAGATTTTGTTCCATCCATGTCATTTTTATTAGTGTTCAAGTTTTACCCAGTTTGAAAAGATGTATTTCATATTTGCTTTTGACCAAAATGTTCTTCAACTTCTCAGTATTAATATTTACCTATAATCTGTTTCTATTTCTCCATCTTTGGTTATAGCCTTTCAGTTTCAGAGTAACAAATAACTGTATACAACAGACCTACCTGACAAAGATCTCTTAACATTATAACATTGTCTAACTGCTTCCGGTCTGTTCCTTCCCTTATTCTCTTAGCTACTTGTTCAACCTTTTGCATATAGGAATGAGATAAATTAGACAGATATGCTACTATTTATACTACTGGTGCCAGACTGAGCATTGCTGTATTGTCCGTTCTTTCACAGTAGAGACAAAAATTTAAACTATTTGCATGTGTACTTTACTGCCACTAAATTAATTCGTCCTACCTCCTCCCTAATTACCTTATGGAACTTAATAGTGACATTTACTAACTAGATTATAGTCATCAGTAGAGAAAAGCATGGTGCTGGTTTACGGTTGTCTAATTCTTTGAAGAGTAAATCCAGTTCCTATTCAAATCAATGATTCGGTGACTTCCATGGAAGAAAAATCAGTCCCTTAATCAGCAAATGTAGCGTCAGTCATACTATGCAAGACCCAAACCATCAAAAGCATGTAAATGATCAAAAAAGAGTTTCTATGTTTAGCCTGCCCACTTTATACATAATGAATAAATAGTTGGTGTATGATTTAATCTTAAAATATTTTATTAAGCACAGATGATAATGCAGAAATCCATGTAATAAAACAACTTTAGATAAAAAGCTAAGTTAAAATGAGTTACTATAAATATTGCACTTAGAATTCTTATTTTACATACACAACTCCTTAAAAAATTGGACAATTATAAATTAACAGCTTCCAAGTAATTGGAATTTGGTATGTTTGACATCAGATGGCTGGCAAATCTTCAGCTTTAAGACTTGGGAGGATCTGTTCTCATCTTGATAGGTATATGTGATAGATACCACTTTGTGCCAGAGTGTGCTTAGGTGGATGGGAGGGAAGAAAGGGTGAGCATGGTCTTAGTGTTGAGTCAGTTGTATTTTCATGACTTACAGTAAGTGAAAATTATTTTTCAAGAGAGATGATAGAATGCAGCTGCAGAGTTTAGTTTTAACATGTTTTGTTTTTCAAGGCATTTAGGATCTTTGAGTTCTTAGTCTTAAAACTCATGACAAAGCTGTTGGGAAAGACTTTGCCTCTACCGTCTTCTTCTACCTGGCCCATGATGACGTAGTTTAAACCTACAAAGGAGAGCATGATATTACAAGACAGAAATCCAGGATGCGATTTGGTAAGTATAGTTCTTTATCTGTGGTCTCTATTCATTTGCACTCTGTTACCAATGCCTTTTCCTTCCTACCTAAAGCATATACTTCCTTACCCATCTTTGCCATGCTTGTTATGCCATAAAGTACAGTTATGTAAAAATCAAGTAGATAAATAGCTAAGTGTCTACTACATCATTAAACATACAGGAGATATTAATTAAATGTAGACTGTCAAATGAGTCTGACAGACGTTAGAAATGTAGTATAAACACTGGATAACTTAGCTACTAACAACCAAAGTGGAATATGTCTCATTTGTTTTGGATATCTTCTCATTTGCTCAGCTTCTAGAATAAAGCACTTAAGGGATAATGCACTTAAGTCTTTTCATTCCTTTTTCCTCCCCCAAAGGCATAAACATTTTCTAGATATATAGAGAGGCAGTCAGGCAAGCAAGGTGGGCTTAATGTGTGATAAGCCCTGGCTTTCAAGAAATAGAATGGATTTGCATATTTTTATGGCTTAGAAAGGTTAGGGGTTTGCAAGGCCTTAGGCTGGAAGGAGTGGTGTTATAGGGGTACAAGCAGAAAAGTTTAGATATTAAGTAATGGCTATTAAATAATTCATGGAGATTTAGGAAGAGACACAGAAGTGTGTGGTTTGCCTAAAAGGAGACAATTTGTTCCACCAAGGATATTATTGTGTCTCCCAGACAAGTATCTAGTTTCCAGAGAACTAAAGGTAAAAGTAAAACCTAGTTTCTGACAAGGATTTTTCACTTTGGTACTACCCACTTTGAATTAATATGCTTAAATACCAGTAGTATCCTGAATGTTATCATGGGGTTTTTTTATGCTTATTAAATTATTTTGACTGTTTCCTGCTCTGGTTCCATTTATGTTCTCCTGTTCTACCTGTTTACTCAGGAGGCAGAGCTGAAAACTGTTTTATATTTTACTTAGTTACTTCAATGAAACATAGTCTCAGTATTTCTGACACCACCGTATAGGGACCCCTTGTTACATTTAACTGGAAATTATGTTGGTTGATCTACTCTGAATAATACTGTTTAAGATAACTATAGAAATACTGGCTGTTTGCAGATATAGAGTGGGCTTAATACTATTAGTATGTCTACAGTAAAGATGTAAATATATACGGGAGAGAAGCAACAGGGAAAGGCTGATTTTTGTCATTTGCTGTGACATACTGCTTTTCTAGGTTTAGCATGCTGTTGGTTTTCCCTTCTAAATAACTGTATGAAAACTAGCTCCAAAATACATACATGTAAAAACAAAATCTAACTGAGCTTTATTTGAAAGAATCAAATCAGATTTTACTTTATATCACGTGGGTTTACAAAAAAAAAAATTTTTTTTCGAACTCCTTTGAGCTAAGTGAGCCTAATCCTTTAAAAATAAAACTTAAAAATGGAATATAAACCTGGATAACTAGTTATTTTTATCTTAAATTTTTTATAATATTAGTTGCTGATTATAGAAACAATTATTGTAATTTTACTGATTTTTGTGGTCATATTTCAAATAGCAGTTTTTAAAACTGTTGTCTTTTTATAAACACAGAAAGCAGTTATTTTTTTGTACTTACCTCTTCTGATGAGAGGACACTGCTTACATACAACAATAATCTTGGCACTCATACTCTTGCCAGCTTGTTGAATTGCTAAATTTCCCTCCTTATATACATTAATGATTGATATTGTTGCATGCAGACTGCCAGCCCGCGTTATTGCTGTGATTACAGTTCCAGTTATTACTAGAAGAAAAGACATTTGATACATTTTTATTATTTTTTAGACATAAATGTTGAGGCATCCTAAAAACTGAGTAAGTGTATTAGTCCATAATAAGGAAACACTACTGGAAACAGTTACTATAAATGTGGGTATCACTTGTAATAGATAACTCACTACTGACAAATTTTGGTGGCACCAAATATAAAACTCTTCTTAGAATCTATCAGGCTCTTGCAAGCCCAGTTCTAGGTTTTGATAATTTCAATTAAACAGTACAATTTGATACTACTTTTAATGACTAATTTTAAAACGGTGGAGAAGTTGAATTGAAAACTTTCCCGCCAAAAGCTGAATTCCCAGCTGTCTGACACTCTCCAATGAGTAGCAGGGAATAGTTAATGCCCTCGGAGCTAGATTTTGATCTGTCTGAGGCCTGATACTGGTACAAATTTGCCAATTTCAGCTAAATTTAGACAACAGATTAGACAATCATATCTCCCAAAGACCTCTTAGTATGAAAAGAAAGATACCGGTTTTTTCCTAGGATGACTAGATTAATTTGTAGGCCATCTTTATTTATCAAAAGGGAATGGTAAATGGTATTAGCAATTTTTTTTCTTCTCAGATGACCTTTTGTAAATAAGCTATTCTATCCTAGGATCAATTAGATCTTCAGTTATGAACTACGTACAGTTGGATTTATTTTACAAATCTGTATAATCCACATTTTGGGTTAGGCATTTGTAAATTTGCATATTATCTTCCTTTAATTCAGAGCTTTTAATTAAATGGGAATGTTCAAGTTCAATCAAAAGAGAACTGTGGATGTTAAAATCCTGGGCATTGCAGTTATATTTCTAGAAACAATAAAAATGAAATGCATGATAAAAGAGAAATAGCTCTTATTTTCTAAATTCATAAAGTCAGCAAATAAACTTGGAATAAATCGTATTCTACAAACAGCACACTTTCTGTTCTTAGCTTAGGATACATTTGCATTCACAATGCATATAAAATATTTTTACTCTTACTCGTGCCATGGAAAAGACTGAAAAATTTCAACTATTTCACAAAAGGTGAGAGTGAATGTGATTTATTACCCTGATGCTAGAGGAAAAAGAACAAGTTTTATATAGTGTCATTTGCCATCAACCACAAGAGCTGAGGTATGGTCAATAAGAGGACACCTATACTGTTTGCAAATTAAAACCAGCTGGTGGTCAAGAGTGGTAAAGGGTCATGCTGCAGTGTCTCCATTCTACTTTAGGATACAGCCACAGCCCTCAACTGTTTTCCTAGCAAAATGATGCAAAGCTGTCCCCATTTTCCTGAAACAGCAGATTTCCTCAGATCTCTTGGGATTAGCTATAAAGTTAGAGAGAGTTACATATGAACAAACAAACAAAAAAGGGCGGGGGGGGGAAATTGTCGCATCAAATTTTTAGGCATGTTATAGGGGATTAAAAAAAAGCTTCCAGTATTAATATGGGAAAATACTCTGAGACATAACTGAATAAATCAGCAGTGACAATGCCATCCAAATATACAGCAGACATCATTTTTCCTGAGTGATTTGTATCTGTGTACAGAAAGCAGTGCTTGTAAACTTCCATGCCTCCTAACTTCTTTTAAAACTATTTTGGAAGTCTATAAACTGAATTGTGGAATAGTCAGCAGGTACAGCATAAAATATGTATTGGCTGGTTACAGACAAATGAGATGACAATACAGTAATTGAATCAATACTTTCCTGTAGGAGGTTGTCTTACATTGTCATTTGCTTTTCAGATTGAGAAAGTATGTTTGTTTGAGACGTATGTGCAGTGCCTATTTCGGAATATGTCCAAGAATGTATTGAGTGAAACACAGATACTAATAGCAGATACACACATAAGATGGTGTAAAAATATAGCCTATATATTAATGATAACTCAGAACGACATCTGGTAAAATTCCTATGAGTCTAAAAACACAGTGGCAAGTGAATAATTAAAAAGAGACAAACTTTGCTTCCTTACCAAAGTTGCTTGAACAATAATTGCTTTCGAGAGTCCCGCTCCTCTTACACTTTTGCTGGCACGGGGAAACTGAAGGTTTCACAACTTTTTGAAGAGCAAAAAGTAAATTGAAATTGAAATGAGGTATTTTATACAAATGCAAAGCAGTATGTTTGAAAAAAAAAGAAGAAAGATGAATAATCCTGATATATACATTAACTAGACCTGGTATTGCAAGGGATGAACACCACCATAACAATATTCCTTTTCTCTGCCATTACCTCCAATCATCATCTTTTCACATGTGTTTCAGCTATGTGTCTGTTTTAGTGACCTTATAGAATGGGATGTTACAGAAAATTTACATTTGATTACAGTGTGATCTTAAATATGTAACTTATTCAGTGTTGTTGCCTGTTGCCATACAGCCGTAATAGTACACTTAGTGTCGTAACATTATATTAGAGTAACACTTCAGAGGGTGGGGGTGGCCTTTTATCTGAAATTACTGGATTGTGATGGAAGAGATCAAAGTTCAAATTCCTGACTCTTTTTCCTAAATTTTTCACATAGCTTCATGACGTGTAGTACTGTATAATTTTTACTGATGACATTTTGAAACACAACATAATGTTTGAAGTATCTGTTTAATATTAGGGGTTGACATTTCCTTTCTGAAACGGAATGCTTTGTTTATAAACAAGTGAATACACTTTGTATTTTTTTTCCTCCTTGGGTGGATGTTAATGGTCTCTGTACTTTAGTCAGCTAACCCTTTCTACAGAACATGTTGGGATGCAGTATTTTTAAGGCTTTTATGTCCTTTTCAAATTTATTTGGAATTGGCTAATGACATTGTAATTATTGGAAACATGGAGCTGAGACAGACAGATTAAAAAAACTCAAACCCCTACATAACCCTAATTTCCAAGAAAAGCTAAATTAGTTATGAAGAATATCTTTGCATTTTTTTACTTTCTTTAGAATGGACCATTTTGCAGAAGTTTTATTCAGCCTATACTTTCTGAAAAAGAACTTCTGACTAATTTTCCAATCAGTAATTTATACTTGTACTTCTCTTTTAATTGAATGAATGGATTCTTTTTATAATTTTCCAAGTTTCTGACATTCAGCTGAATGGCATTGAAATTACTTTGTCTTCAGTGTTATGCCCATGACTGTTAGGAGATCTGCATACTCACTGTTTCCAAATCTAAATTTTAAAAACTGGACCCCATGTTCTTCATTGATTTGGGGTTGTTTGTTCTTTTTTTTTTTTTTCCCCCTCAGTCTTCACATGATTGGTATTCAGTGTGACTCTAGAAAATTAAATGCCTTACACAAGGAAAAGCATTCTGAAGGGCAAGTTACTATGTCTATGGAGGCATATCTAGTCATATTCTACATGATGTAGCCTCAGTCCTACAGTCAGATCCACACGGTCCTGCGAGTGAAACTCCCACTGCTATCACTTCCACTGCCTTGATGTGTCTTCATAGTTCTTTCATACCGGTATGTATTTCTATTTTTAATTATACACTGAGTTGCTTTTTATAAAGTGACTTCTGTGTAGAATACAATGTAGAAATAATACACTATATTCAGCTCCTAGAACTTGAAACTAAATGATAATTTTCCAAATTATTATTTCAAATTACAGTTAGTGCTTGGCAAAGTGCCATGGCATTTAATTAGTTTTCCTGTCTCCCAGCGTCAGTTGCTAGGTCAGGCAAGTACCTCCTATCTCAATGCTACATGCAGCACAACAAAACCTAAGAATTTAATGTTCCTTGAGTCTTTCAATTCAGTGTCCGTAGCAGGAAGATAAGAAATGTAGCAGGCAGATGAGTCTCAGATGCGTGCCAGTATGGTAGCTGCCAAAAATTTATTGAGGTGCTCTGATTTTTGTAAATTTAAAACTGGGATTATGCATTACAAAATATTCTTGTTTGGTCCTCTCAGGGTTTTTTTTGTGCTAACACTTCAAGTTTTACTTTTGAGTTTAGTAAATTTTGGTTGGTGACTAACTTCGTTATGATTTGTCAGTAGAGGCTGCCTATTGTTTGTACAGACAAGTGAGGTATTTTAGCAAAATATGAATTGGTGAAGAACTGAATTAAAAGTTTTGCTGCCTACCATTTTACATGTAGCCATATTGACAAACAAATGCATGACTTGATCCAATGAAATAAAATGAATTACTTAACCATATGTATTGGATTCATCTTCATTACTTTTATTAATGTATTGTATAGCATTTATTTATTTCTTCAAGTACTAATATTTTTATGTAAGATGGACACTGAGGTAATTCTTGAAAGTGCCTACTGAAGTCAAATATTTTATTAATGCCTGGAGTTCTGTGCAAGTTTGAACAGGTCTGATTAGCAAGATAATACACAAAGTCTGTTTGAACTGGACACTTCTGAATGCAAATGATTGATCAGAAATTTAACTAAACTGTAGAGGTTTGGTGTGCTTTGGTTTGTTTTTAAGATCAGAAATGCCTACACTATGCATAATTGATCAGACATTGAAAGGACTCTTATTTCTGTCTGCCTGACAAGTCCTTTTGAACATCGTCCCTCTGTTGTCCTCTCTCAGACAACTTTGCATGGGTTTTATTTTCTAACACTGATGTTGTCATAAAAGTTGATTTGGAATTAATTAGTAAAGTACACCTCTTTTGCATGTGCGCACACAAACAGCTCACAGAGCAAAACTCAATGGCAAAACCCTGAACACAAACGCAGTGTGAGATATCTGACAGCCTGGATTCATTGAGACCAAGTGTTTGAACTAACAACTTTGTTAAGAAGTGCTTTATAGTGAAGAAGACCTGAATTATTTATTATTAGAGTAACAGTCACATCAGAATGATTTACAGGTCATTATGACTTCATTTTTATAATGTTTATTTTCATCTACTTTAAATACCTTTCATTATCAGTATTTAAGCACCACGGCTTATTGGTTTCCTGCATTGCTGTCCTGACTTTTGATGCGTTTTAAGTACAAATCAGATTGTGTTGGAAAAACATCATAACTAATTTGGTTTTCTGCTATAACTATATCTTAAATCTCTCACATTCAGGTTATAGAAATTGTAAGAATTTATCCCTTCAGTATCTCAGTAATGAGGTAGTTTTGGCAATACCTTCAGAGGAATCCTCTTCTGATCTTTCATACATGCTGTCTAGTCTTAAATATAAAAGGAAACTTATTTTTACTGTGACATATTTCTTTATAAGTTCCAATCTCTGATTTTTTTTTTAAATAAAAATAATTCTAGGAGATTGTCCTGTTGACAGGATGTCGACAGAATCTGAAGAGGGCTCAGGTGGCTTCCATAACAATTTTGCTTGATCTTAATAACTATATGAAGAAAAATATGGTCAGATTTTTACATATTAACTTGTATAGAAGAAAGAGTTCCTTTAAATAAAACTATTTCCTAAAATATTTCTTCTTATACAAAAGAATTTTGTTCATCCATTCTTCTATGGAATTTGCTAGTTAATTGTCAAAAATTGAGAAGAGATGGGAAAATTCTCTCAGTTGGGACGAGTTACACTAAACTCCCACCTGGATAGATTTCCCTTTAATAATATTAAGTAGATTCTACCTTGAGTATATTAAGATACTCCCTTGAGTATATTAATTTTAATTCATTCTCTCAACACTTGAAATACTAACAAACCATAAAACTGTAATTTTTAATATACTTTCTGTGACATTTTTCCATAACCCTCTCCTTGTCCTGGAATAATTTATTTTTCTAAGAAATAAAGTAAAGCCAGTAAAACTTACTTGAGGTAGCAGAGATTGTTGTGGTAGTAGGCGGAACCGTAGTTGTGGGTAACTTTTTTGGCCTGAATTTATAATGGCCAATAAAACCATCAGCTGTTAAGCTTAAATCAGACAAAAACTGAATAAGCAACTCATTTCTCTCAGACAGAATAGGCCTGAAATAGAAAAACAAAATAAAATATTTCCATTGTTTTAAATGTCAAAGACAAAAAGCATTAATAGCATTCTTACAAAAAAAGAGAGCGCGCTTCACTTTAATTATTGGTCTGAATGCAGCATCTGCCCCCAGACTAATACTAAAATACATGTTTCTTTGCTGGCATGTCAGACACTGGTGTTACGAGTATGAAACTCATTCTGATGAATCATCTAAACCTCTGATTTCTGAAGGTTATGTCAATATGAGTATCTTCAAATTCTTCTGCCTGACTTCATTGCAGACTTCACTTCCACGGAATGGAAGGGACTAGATTAACATAGCGGGAAAATACATTGAAGAAAATTCTCAGTTTGTAGCGGAGGTAAGTAAATGGGTTTTTTTATTTATTTGTGTAATGAATGTATTATGCATTTGGAAGGCCTTAAGAAAATGAATTCAGTGTTGGATTCTGTAATTCTTTGACAAAAACACTAAAAATAAAATGTTTGGGGTTATTATTTCTGTGGGCTCAGTTTTTGTCAATGATTGGATATTCATTACCAAGGCCTTGAAGAGCTAACGGAGTTATTTTCTTAGGATTTGAAATGTCATGAACAAGCACTGTTCACTGTGTTAGTTTTCAGTTCATAAACTGCATAGTACCTTCTGTGCCACTAACTGCCTTTGGATGTAGATGTAGTGCAATGAGATTTCATTCAAGACTACTGTTAGAGAAAATCATACGGAATGCAAGTCTAGCCAAAGCAGCACTTCTCTCATTCTTTTGAGCTTTCCACAGACCTTGTCTCAATATTCATTAATAATTCGTAACACAAATTTTTCAAGCAAAAACATAGTTTTGGGAAAGAGGAAGAAAAATAAATATAGGGGCAAAAGGATCTTGGTGAGGAGAAAGGAAAATAGAAAGTGGTTTTAAGATGTAGTTTTACTAAAATGATTGTGTTGTTTTTCCCAGCAAGTCTGACAGAGTTCATGAGTAGGAGTTCTTCAAAACACTTAATCAGGCCTTTGAAGTAAAAACTTGTGATCATCTCCCAGTTTTTTGGCAGGTGCTTCAGAAATCAGTTTACTCTGATGGGTGAGTCTGACATAACCAAAAGTAAGTGCCTGGTTATCTGGAATTCTATAGATTTACAGATACCACGGTAGTTGCACAGATTACGCTTTTCTTGCTGCAGTAATGACACAGGCTGTGGACATAGGAGGGCACTGATTATCAGCTGCCTGAGAGCTTTGTTCTGCTTCCTGAACACCAGGACTACAACACCAAATCTGAAAAATCCGACCTAGTCTGTGTATCCTGCCTTTTTAAAAAAGGGGTTTTGTCTGAGAGGCAGGGGTTTTTTTGAGTAATTACTTCTCCTAATAAATTGTGATTATTATGTATACCATTCATTTATGTATCATAGTAATTCTATTTAGGAATCAGGTATGTGTTTACACTGTATGCTTGCTGGTCTGCAGTTGGATCTGATTTCATCTCTGCAACCACCAAATGAGTTCAAGGTATCCACTTTACTCATACTTCTGATGTATACTGTTTCTGTTACAGAATGCCACGTTACATTATCTGTGTCTGCTGGTTAATGAGTTCCACCTTGCATAATTACTGTGTCAGACATGCAACTAATACTCTTTATAGAAAGCTTGCTTCACAATTCAGTTTACACACCATGATTTCTGGTTCTTTTACAACACTGGTCTTGTCCTCACTGTTTTTCTGAACCCAGCTGATAAATTGTGATGAGAATTCTGCAGAGCTAGTGGAAAATCCCCAAGAACCATACTTTCCCCCTTTCACTGGATATAGAAGCTGCCTATATACAACTTTGCAAGGGAAAGTGACTGTGTTCAAGCTCTGTATTGGATCTCTGGTTAGGAAGCAATGCTATCCTAAAATCGGCTTTCAGGACACTTCTAATGTTCTGTAACAGGAAATCTTACCTCTAAGCTATGTGGCTTGGGTCTGAGCCCAGTATTCTGCCCTTATTTGCCTGTTGCACAAAGTCCATACTAAAATGTCTATATTTTGAAGCCCACTAGGGTTTGGCAGACCAATTTACAGCTTTGACATACTGTGGGGATAGATGCAGAGCCACAGTTGAGAGGTGGTTTAGGAAGCTACTCCTGGTTGCCTCTCAGGGGCTAACTGGCACTTCTTCCTTTTGCACTGCCCTGTCAGCCAAAACCAGATCCTGACAGTGCAAAACATACTTGCACAGCTGGGCTAGGTTTTAACTGGAAAGAGGCAGCTAAGTCCCAGGGACTGGAGGCCACCAGCCTTATCTGTAAGGGGTGGTGTTCACTGCTGCCTTCTGAGAACCAAGGGAAGGGCAAGATCTTGTGGAGTTCAGTTCTTACCTCAGTTGGAAATGTCACAGCTTACATATAGAGTGAGTCAAACTAGACTCTAATCATGCTTCTGGCTTAAACTCTGTTCAACTAGGAAGCAAGTCCATTTGCTCCAGTGCTTTGGATCCAGCTTGCGCACAACAAAACACCCATGGCAGGAACTGAAGGTATTTGTACAGAACATCACTAGTTAAGTGCTTCTAATATGAGATTCTGTTAGGTTTTGGGGTTTTTTACAGTAGCTTGAAGGTAAATACCTTACTGTTCTGCAGTAACAGTTGAGTTGTAAGGGATGGATCTGCAAAGTCACAAGGAGGTTCTCATGCTGTGCTCATCAATGGAATACCTGTCTACCTGGTGATAAAGTATTAAGTAATGTAACTAACGTCTGTCATCTGCTGGTTGCTTTTTTTATTCCGTCTAAAGATAAAGGAGTGTTTGAAAGAGAATTCCTTTTGGGAGGGTGTTTTTACTTCAGATAATGGTGATTTGTTATCTAATATATACAGATGCTTACAACATTCAAGTCAAAGGAATATATCACCCATTTGGAGACCCATTCAGTCCATCTGCAGTCACTCCAAGTGCCATTGCACTGCAAGGCAACAATTCATCTTAGTTTCCAGGTAAAGCTCTAAGCTATAAAGCTTATGAAGTCACTTTGCTATGAATACATATGTGAGGCAAAAATGGAAAAATTCTGAATGTCATTTGGCAAAGAGGTGGAAGTGAATGTCCAAGATTTCTAACCCACCTCCTTGCCTTGAGGACTCAATAATAACTCTCCCTCCATCTCACAGCCTTTGGATTGGAGGCAATATGGAAAGATAGTTTACTTTTGCTAGTGAAGTTTTTCCTGAAAACAAGGAAGTGATTATGTATGTAACTACAGCTAGAATTTAGCCTCTTGCATCATTTTAGTGGCCTGAATTACCTAGCACTAAAAGAACAATCTTACCCATAAGACTCTCTATTATCAGTATCTTTTTACAGAGCAGCTTTTTTAACTTTACTACAAGAAGGGGGCCTGAAAATAAATTAATGTACAAATGTCTTTACATAGAAAGTTTCAAATTGGAAAAAAAAAAAGAAAGAAAGAAAAAAGAAAAAAGAAAAGTGTAACTCAAGACCAAAAACCTAAGGTGGCTGAAGGAAACTGAAGTTAATATATTTCAGGTGCAGCCCTATCCTTAATTAAATTCTTGCGGAATTTCTAATAGATGTCCATAGGCATAAGCTTACTCTATTTCTAGCACTGTCATGCTATTGCATAGCTGCTGCATGGAGAAGAAAAATCTTTAAAAACACTCTTTAAAAAGAGTCCTACAGAATGTCTGCCTCCCCTCTCATCTCCTGAGGATATACTACATAACCTTAAAAAACCCAACCAAACAAAAAACACCAAAAAAACTCTCAGTAAATCTCAGTCTAGCAAGCTATGCTTAGAAAGACTGAGGCATGCACCTCCTCCCCCTGTACCACAGTTAGCTGCTCTTGGGAATCAAACTAGCTGCCACTTCCGAGATGTAAGTCTAGTCACGCACCTCCATGTATTTTTTTTTTTTTTAATAGCTTGTATTTCTTGAAACAAAATGCATCGTCTTCTAAAGCTACTCAGCTTTAAGAAGCTTGACGGAAGAGGAACAATGGGAAAGAAGAGCTAGCCTCACCCAAAAAATTTTACACTTTTTTTGGGAATAATTACGATCCACTATTGCTAGACCTGATTATATAGTTACAGTGCCATTGGCTGGGTTTGGGGTGGTTTTGGGGGATGGGAGGCTTGGAGAGATGGGTTGTTTTTTGGGGGATAGGTGAGTTACGGTTTGGGGGAGGGGGTGTTGAGGAGGGCAGCAATTTGATAGCAAAGCTGGTGAAAGCCTGCTGTGCTACCCAGCATGCTCAGGAAAGCAGTCTGTGCCATGAGAGAATGTGCCTTGGCATAGATGGAAGAGATGATAAGCAGCGATGCAAGGAGCAGCCAGGGAACCAGCAGAAGGGAAGTGGCTGAGGGGGAAATGAGTCAGATAAAGTGAGTAATGAGCCAAGGGGCTAGAGAGTTCAGCTGGATCCTTTTACTTCAGTATCTATAATCAAAACATACATATTATGTGATGTTAGTGTTCAGCTACCATTAATATTGGTATTATACCAATATCAATAGCATTAGCGTTAGTATTGGTGTTATTAGACAGTGCTCTAATGAGGCTTGAGGGACAGGACAGAACATGAGTTGGAGCCAGGGCTAGTCATGGAGAGAGAGAGAAAAGGGAAAACCTAGGGAGAGACAAGATACTAATCAACTCCTACATGTTCAACTGGAGGTAGAAAATGTCATATTTAATTTTAAAAAGAATAACAATCTTTCAGAAGCCTAGTACAGAACTGTTAGCAAAATGACACATAGTGGTAGTGAAGTTCATAATTCAAGAAAGTTACTTACGCCGGTGGACTGTCTCCGCAGTACTTCCCAATTCTTTTAGCATCATTGATTTCCCCACCATTAAACACTGCGACATAGTCATATCTGCAGTAGTTGTCCCTCTCCACATCAAACTTCTCGAACTTTAACTCTATTAGCTGCAGGGAAAGTGTAAATAACTCCATTAAGGTTTTGATAGGCAGAATTTATTAGTGCTTCTTATAGTAAATTACCTCTTCATATGAAGTACTAATTGATTTTTCTTTTCAGTCCTTAATCCACTTAATTGTAGAGAAAAGTATTTTAATCCACGTGACTTCTCTCCAACAAATAGTTCAACATATGACTCTAATATTCTATAAAACATTTTGTTTTCAAATACATGCAAGTAACTTCTGATAAAGTTATTTTTATGAGTGAATGCAAACAGGATAGTAGGTGTTAGGTGTTACTTTTAAAATAACTGTAACAATTCTAAACCACAGAAAAGGGGCTTTTAGTGTCATCGTATCATTCAAGATATGCTAAGGAAAAAGCAAGGGCAAAGTTGGTAAGAGCCATTGCACTGACTTCCTTAAGAGCAGGGTTTTAATCACTGTGGTTGCCAATGCTGTGTTTGCTTGATGCAGAAATAAAAAGGTCAGAAACATAAATATTGATAGGAAGAAAATTAGTAAATATTAAGACTAAAACTAAGAGGAAGTAAGTAGTTAAAGGAATTGTGTTTCCATACACGATTTCCATAAATGTTGGGGCTTTACAAGTCATAAGTGAGAACTAGTATAACTCTAGTATTTCCAGTACTGATGCGATTATCTCCAATATGATTTGTATTTATGGACTTTTCTGCTTAAGAAAGAAAAACAATGGACAAGAAAACAGAAGTGGAATTTACTACTCCAAAATGAAGTCCTGCAGTATGATTCTGTCATTTGTGTGTAGCAAGAAAGGAAAACACGACATAACTGCACTATTGAAACAGAGGTAATATATGCATTTAGGTTGCTTCTTTATATGAAGCACAACAGTATTTAAATCACCTTCCCATAAATAGCACCAATGAGGCTTGAATGACAACACTGAATTGTGTTGTTTGTAGATATGCAGGATTTCTCTTTAAAGGTCTGTCTCAAACAAAGATGATATTAAATCTTTTAAGACTGTACAAAGAAAAATGAGTAATTTGTACATTGCATACACTTTATTTGATTTACTGACGTAGCAAAAGTGATCTTGTTCTACATTCATAGTAATGATAGTCTGTTATCACCTGATGTCTTAGTTTTGCCTGGATATGCTTTTGCAATATTCAGATGCATAAGGCATCATTTTGTTTCCCATAAAGTATGAGTAACCTAGGGGGACTTGGTTTCAGAGATGAGTTAATAGGCTTGTTTCAAAAACTTTGTTGTCATGATGAAAAAATGCACTTTAAGTGGAAGTACCCATCTGAATAATATGCTTGTGATCAAAAAAGATGGTGTAGAAAGAAGTAATGCAACTTGGAGCAGAAATGCTAAATTTTTCCATATGCAGGCAAAACAGCAGGCCATAATATCTACTTTACTATTGTTCATGAGTGCACTTTGCACTAATAAAGAAGTATTTCATGATAGAATAGAAGCTCTTCACCATCACGAGAAGCTCCTCCATGTTCTGTAATAAATGAAGTAATTACTGGTTTGTATTAGAAGCAAAAGACTGCCTTGTTTTATTGCTCATATGCTTGTGAAAGGGAAGTACAGACAACGGCACCTAAACTTTGGCAAATGGAAGAATGAACGGCTTTTCATCTGCACTTGGAGAGAGATGCTTATTCACTACTTCCTTAAAAATGGCTTTTGTCACTGTCAAAATTCTGCCTCATTTGCATGAAAACAACCACTATTGCAGTATATGAAAAATACATATTTGGAAACTTGTAGATTTATGGAACAGGATCTTCAAAAGGCACAGGATATAATGCCCTTACTTTTATGCTTCTATAGCCTTTCTTAAATCTTCTCTACAAGCTTAGGAAAAGTTTTTAGGCTTATCTAGAGATATTTGGAAAGAACCAAAGTAATCTGCAGTTTACAGATAAGGTTTTAAAAATCACTGCCTATCTGTAGGATTGTTAAATGACCTGTATCTAGCAAGCAAGGAATGTGGATTAAAGAGGAGTACAGGGAAGACTAAGCTGACATACTGCTTCAGTTCAAGGGAGAAAATATCTTGGTAAATGGAAAAGTATGAAAGATCTAAAGAATATATTTTTCTGGGGCAGCTTTTTTTATTTGGAGGATTATGGTCATGAGCAGAAGATTAAGAGGAAAGTTGTGTTTACATGTAGAAGAATTTAAAAAGCTGGACGTGGTAAGAAAAGCAACCTACCAAACATGCTTGGATGACCAAAACATACAACCATTGTAGAATTCTTGCCAAGGTACAGAGCAGATGGCTCGGCAACAACCAGAAAATGTGAAGCTAGGATTGAGATTAGCCCTATAGCGTAGGGAGCACACTTGTGTTTGCCATGTGTGGCAAATGGTGGCAAATGAGCCCTCTTGGTCTGCCATCACATCTCTTCAGGTCTTAATGAAGTGGTAACACATGCTCTGATGGCATCTGGCTAACTAAGGAAGCATGTTATGAGATGGAGCCTTCAAAATATGAAATAAAACAAGCTTTATGAAATGTACACTGAAAATCCCTGTGCAGGACACATTCGAATATATTCCCTGTACTGTAAGCAGAATAAAATAATTTCTGCTTTTAATAAATTAAATCAGCTTTGCCTGGATACCTCAATAACAAACTGCAGCAACACCGAAAATGCTGCAAATGTTGTTAGACTTAAACCTAGCATTGGTCATCATGATGTTTAGTCCTGAAATGATCACCTGTCCTAACTTAATTTGCATGATGTTTTGTTAATTAACAAAATTTTTTTAAAAAAATCTGTTTTAAAAGCCTTACCAGTCACTCAGATGCTTTAAAAAGTTTAATTTAGGGGAAAGTGTCAATGCACAGAAGAGGAAATACAGTGTTGAGAAAGCACAGGAGTTACTGGAGTGAACCAGGTAATAGATGACAGGAAGGCGGGTATCGCTGGAGCGTAGGTGTGCCTGCACTCCTTGCACGTACCCAACTTTAGATTTCAGCCAGATAGCATTTTTATTGTTTCAGTGCAATGCAGGCAGCGTGTTGTGTGAGCAGACTGTTGATGAGGGGTTAGTCCTTACAGGCAGTGGAAGCTGGGCCGTGCCGGCGGGGCAATGGCAGTGCCTTACCTGGTTCTTCGGGGCGACGATGTGCCAGGAGCAGGTGACTCCCGCTGGGTAGTCTCGCTCCGGCCAGTTGGGTGTTTGGAAGGACCCCGACGGCTTCTCCAGTCGTCCCCCACAGTACTGATCCCCTGCAAGTACAGCGCACCATGCTGACCAAAGCGCAACAGGGATGCAGGTAACCCATGTAAAGCACTTGTTTTACTGCAGGGCCTCGGTGAGGGAGACACAGCCGGTCCCAGCCGGTTCTGGCCACCTCTGCCATGGCCCCACCACAGGACGCAGCTGAGCCCTTCAGCTCAACTGGTGGCACCTCTGGGAAAATGCATTTAATAAAGGGCAGAAAATGCCAGTTGTAGATGAAGAGGGGGGTAAAAACAAGAGAGAGAAGAATTCATGCAAACACCAGGGTCGGAGGAGGAGGAGCTGCAGGTGCTGGAGCAGCCATCCCCGCACCCCGTGGGGAGCTGTGCCGGGGCTGACGGGCATTCCCAAAGGAACTGCAGCCTGTGGAAAGGCCACGCAGAGAGAGTTTTTTTTCCTCCATATCGCCTCCTCCCAGTCCCAAATTACAAAGTTACATCATGTATGTAATTGTTATTTATAATATGATTATAAACCTTCTTTATTAAATTAACTCTATCATGTCACAGTCGTTTAATATATCTTTCAAGAAGTTATCAATACAGGGATACAACTGGAAGGACTAATAAATCACCTGCACTGCGTCTGCGCAACAACCTGACTGTCTGGTATCATGCTAATAGCAAAAGCCTTGAAAAAGAGTCACTCAGCAGGGCGACACCACCTCCCTGTAACCTCCCAGCTTCTCGCAGTTCATGGTCTTCCCAAGCACAAGGCGATGCCTTTATGTTTAATAATACCTAAGAAATTCTTTTTTCATATGTTTTTCTAATTGTTTTTAAACCAGTATAGAAATTGACAATCCACAATGTCCCCTGGCACAGCACTCCATCACTTAACAGCTCACTGAGAAAAATCACCCTCTCCGTTCCTTTGCAGCCACTTGCTCATCTGGTTTTTGTGTTAGAAGAGACAGTAACTGTGGTCCCTGTTCACTTTCTCCATACCAGTCATGACTTCAGAGCCCTCTCCTACACTCCCCTTGACCTTCTCTTTTCCAGTGTGAAGAGGTCCATGCTGTGCAGCTGGTCTTTGTGTAGAAGATGTTCCTTAACTCTATCATACTTCTTGTCTCTGATTGCTTCTGATAGTTTTATTATATCCTGTTCTGAGATGGGAACATCAGAATGGCACACAGTATTCAAGACGTAGATGCCTTTTGGATTGTTGTTTGGTCTTTATTCCCTTTTCAAAAAATTGTTAAGTTCCTGTTTCTTTTTTGATACCTATTGAGCACTGGATTGATGCTCAACTATTGTTTTCATAAATTATCTATTTTAAACCTAAGATCTCATTCCTAAGCGGTAATAGTCAATTCAGAGCCCATTGTACTGTACCTAAAGTTAGGGTGTTTTCCCCTTATTTGCAACATTAATCTATATTGAATTTCATCTGCCATTTTATTGACTAGCCATTACCATATGGGTACTAGGTGCAGTTCTTCCGCAACTCTTAAATAGTTAGCCTTCCTCTTTACTACTTTGATTAACTGCGATGGTTAAACAGTTATACTTTGCTATGTGCTAAGCAAGATAATTAATTATACTTTGAATAGCACAATCCCCAATATCTCTGGCATCACATCTTTTTAAGCATTAATGTGGTTCTCCATAGAGTTGTACAGTTGTATTTGTCTTCAGCACATATGTAATTGTTAATTACCTCTTTCATGTGGTTCTGCTGCAGAAAACTTCGCAATGAATCCACTTCCAGCAGTATTAGCATCTGAAGTCATCTGCACCAACATTTTATTGCTGTTGGATACAAGGGCACCTGGTTTCACAGTACCACAGAACCTGCCGATGCGTTGTCCATTGGCATGGCCATTGTATATATCCACAAAATCATATCGGCACAAGTTGTCACTTTCCAGGTCTAAATATCTAAAAGAAAGAACCACCACTTTTCCTTCTGGGACCTGCAGAGAGAGGGAGATGTATCTTGAAGTGTGACTGACACCACGTATCTGTCTGATCCCATTATTTGCATGAATATTTTCATATCCTTCACTTCTCGCCAGGTAAGCTGTTTTTGTCAACTATACTCCAGGCAGAGTGGTTTTTAAAATCATATTGGACCAATCATAAAAACAAAGCTCTGGCCATCTCTGTTGCCGTAATCTTCTTCCTGATCCACAGTATTATCTAGCCAGGCTCATATAGTTGATTATATGCCATCACCGCCCGGTTCAGCTTGGCACGTTTCTCTTATTTTCTGCTGAAAGGATGCAATCAGCCATGCAGCTCCCTGTCACCAAGTAAGGTGAAGAGGATGAGATTAATACGGTTTTAAAAGAAAATACGGAACAAGCAATTTAGTTTTGAGCAAATGAAGTGGCCTCTCTTATCTTGCTGATTTGTGTCATAAAGTTTCATAGTTTGAAGAATTTTTTTATTTACTGACACACGACTTACATTTATAAATAAAATTTGAAACTTTATGGCTAATGCTGTACAACCCTAATATTTAGTTATTTGACTTGAAGGCTGCAGTGAAAGAATTATATTTGGAAAGAATATGTAAAACTATAAACAGAGAGTTCAAAAGAACCATTAGTTGGTGTCCTCGATACAGAAGAGAGTTTTGTTTTCTGAAACGTCTGAGGAAACATAAGATAAGGCAAATATTCTTATGTGTCTGCATCTGTGGACATTGTGAAAGAGGCAAGAGTACTGAGAAGGGTGTAAATTAAGAGAGCATAATAGTTTACAAGGAGGAGAACATTTCCTGGGATGGAGTTGCAAGCTTTTAAGAGAATAAGCAGCATACTGAGAAGTGAAAACTATTCTAACAGAGCACTCAATGCTATGCAGCAGGACAGGAAGAAGGGAAATGGTATTTTAAAGTATAGAGGGACCCTAGATAGGCAGGGTGTAATTATCTGCATTCAATTCATAGCCCGGTAGAGTGGTTACCTATTAAAATAATTGCAGCTGTTCTATTTTACTGAGACGCAGCTATTATTTTCTGCTTTAAATATATAACACACACTTAATATGTCTGCAGTAAGTCCATATTTATGCCACTTTATTTAAGAGTTCATGAATTTTTTCCCTCCTTGACAGTGACTCATTTTAAAACACCAGTTTGAGATAAACTATAACTAAACTGTTCCTGTATGAAATTATCAAACAGTGTTTTAATGTTGTGAGTTTCAACAGTTAAAAATGCCTTGTCAGGTATAGCTGGAAGTGCTATAGATGGAAGTGACCACTTAACCCACAGAAGATACTAATACAAGCAGCAGCTCTAGATGTAGTGAAAAATGTGCTGTAGATATGTTAAGGTTACTCATTCATGCGGCTGCTTTTATGTCCAGTGCTGATACCGATCCTGCAGCAGTACAGACTTCTGCATGAGCTGTTTTCAACTGCCTGAGGCCCACGTACACATTGGCTGACCAGCCCTGCTGTAGTTCCTGTTGCTGGTTTCAGAGTATTTTCCTTTAAGTTCAATGTTCTCTCAAAAATGCATTCAGTTCCCCTGTGCTGACATAAATCACTACTACTACTACTACTACATCAAAACCACAAAACTCATCTGATCTTACCCAGAAATTCCAAAGCACAATGACTATGTTTTAGAAAACTTAAAAGCCAGATGTTAGGTTTAAAACTCACACTACTGAAGTAAGCAAGCCCTATAGCTGGTATCAGAAAATAACCCACATGTATATTTAGTCAGCATAAGGCCAATACAGACACACGGTCATGTTGTAAGATATTCTGTGAAAGTAATATGAGTCCTTGAATCACTGCTCTCGTAACTAATTCTCTTACTATTGCATTCACTTGTCTTCCGGTCTGAATCACTAAGAAGCATTAAGACATGGTCTTTTTAACAGAAAAAGAGCTAAAAGGAATTTCGTATTCCTGTCAGAAGACCTGAGTGTTATTTATGGTTTTACTACAAACTCTATGTGACCAGACAAATCAGTTCAAAAATGCTGGCTGTAAAGTTAGTCAGATAAAGTCAGATTTAGGCAGTTAAATTTAAGCAGCCTTTTTTCCAGAAGTAGGTGTGTAAAATAACATACGCTCTTTTGGGGTGGAACACTCATTATTTGTAAGTTTGTACAACTGGGACAACAGGATCTAAATGAGGTGACCTTTAAAGATTATCATGTTTTAAACCAGACTAAGTTGTTATGCCTACAGTTAAGATTGTGCAACATTTTCTGCTACAGTGTCTTCCAGCTTTGCTACAACTTACCCATCTGTAAGAAGTTTCCCCTTTTCCTTCCACTGTTTCTGAAAGTTGAGCAGAAGTTGCTCTATCATATTAGATTAAATAGTTTTGTCAGTGTTTATGAGATTTTTCCCTACTTTCTCAGCTTGAATTGCTTCTTTGAAGACACCTACTCCCTCCCAGACTTTGAAGAAGGAAGTTGAAATCTGAGAGGTGGCTGGTTCTGGGGTAAGAAAAGGTCTTTTTGCTGTCCTTGTAGAAATGCATTCAGATTTAGCCAAGTGGTTATCCCTCAGTAATGCTGATGGGTGCTCATTGACAGCTTTGTTCCACAAGCATATTGAGCCAGCGACGCTCTGCTCACGCCAGCCTCAAGGCACTCAGTCCTACTCCCGGGTATTCTGCTCCTCATGCTGCCCCAAGTGGGGCACGGGGAACCAGGACGTGGGACTGACCTGTGCTCAAGAGGAAGAGGATGCTGGCAAAGCAGCCAAACTCTGAACTGCCAGCCAACCATTCACTCAAGTCTTGGGTTTTCTGTTTCACGGTATAAGTAATTCTGTGCAGCGTTGTATGCTTCCTTCTCCTCTCTCCACCACTGACTATGTTATACTATACTACATTACATTATTAATTATATTTTATTATAGTTTTTAATCTCTCTAGCTTCTATTTGTTCAGTCTACTTGATCTCGGTCAAGACTGTTCCCCACAGATGTACTGAGTTTCTAAGTTTTGTTTCATGACAGTTTGTAAGAAAATGTGTAGGAAAAACTCAGCCACATGGTCATGAATGTTTAAGAAGGAGCCTACTCCAGATTTTAGTTGTCGGAATAATCCTTGCTCACATTTAACTGAATTTGGGGAGATAAGTCATTTACAGAAATGTGTAAACTGGGGCCCTTAATCACAGTCACTACTTACTGCCATTACTTTATAAAGGAATGTCATTGCTTATTAAAATAGTACTTGTCATTATTCACAAAAATAACAAATTTGTTTCAGCATGTTAAATCAATTAAAAGTTTGTGGTCTCATCAGATGACATTGAAGAGTGCAGAGGATGGTGATTCCACATTCTGGCAGCAGCCGCTCCAGTTTGCAGCTACTCCCAAGGAATCCCACCCTAAATACAGGCGTCTTTGCAAAACAATATTTTTCTTTCATTTCTACCATTTCCCTTTTTTAAATGTTGAAAACTAATGTGCTAAAATCTGCCAATGTTTATCCTAGGACATTTAAAATATTGCTCCATGAGAAACACAGGGGAGAAAGCAAAGGCCAGCATGACTCAGTATTGTTTACTTTGAGCCATGTCTGATGCAGTAGGATGATGGGATACCTCAGAGGAAGAATTGGAAGGAATTGCAGCTCTTAAGAATAAAATTAAAAAAAAAAAAAAAAAAAGAGAGAGAGGAGTCGAAGGAAGAATATGTGGTATTTTCCCTTCAGGGTGTGCCTTATTTTTCTGTTTTATCCATCCAGCTGGTATCTTTCAACGACAGATGCACTTTAGCTTCTACCTCTCCTTGTCACACTGAGGGTGACTGACCCATGCTTGCCTTCTGCTTCCCTTCTTATTTTAACTCTATGAACTTCTTTAGGATCAGAAATCATGACTCTAAACTCATATGACTTACTCCTATTGAAGGCTAAAGGAAAATAGCACTCCCTGAATTTTTAGGGGGAGTTTTTCTAGAGCATAATTCCCTAAAATCATCCGTGTAGATTATTAACCTCTTCAAAAGAGCATGATTATTTTATATATACAACCCACCACAAAATAAGGTCCCTAGATTTTTTTTTTGTTATTGTTCATCAGGTATTTCATATAATGTTAATCAAAGTTCACTTACATTTAAAGTAGTTAAGCTGTTTCTCTGTTGTTGTTCTGACTGAACACAAGGCCTCTTCACCATTGTACCTCTCTCAGTTTCTGGGGAGGATTCCCAAACTGTCATTCTTTTCAAAATTACTTGGTTTAGATTATTTGCTTCGAAAATAATCTTTTGGTAGGGGAAAAAACCTTAAATACCGACTTTCTGAGAAAAATGTTTTGCCTAATTTTTAAACCTGTATTGTATATGGGTTTAATATATTTTGGTATGTATTTAATACCAAAATGCTGATTGTATGTTTTGCCACAGCAGTCCTAGGTAGACTTGAAAAATGCATCAGCTACCTGCAAGCCAAACATATTATTTCTCTCTATTGAGAATGAATGTGAAAGTTATTTGGATTTACCTCCTGGGAAGAACCACAATTCCTGCCCAGTCACTTGTTCCCTAGCTCCGTCCTCTCCAGACACAAAGGAACAATTTTTTTAAAAATTCGTATTAGCTTGTTCTCCCTGACAAAGACACTAGATTCTGTTCAGCTATTTCTTTTCTGGCAATACAACCATGCGTAAAGATCTGTTCTCTACTGGAAAGGCAGTTTCACAATGATACGGGAAAATGAATCCTTAAAACGTAGAGAAAAAGGTTTAAAATATTTCACTCCCCCAGGTCAGATTCCCAACTCCCCTGATAAGTAAATTTTTCAAACCTTGCTTATTGTCAGCAAACCTGCTGGAGCACAGCTCCTGAACCTATAAAAATATAACCTTACATAACTCTGACAGTCTTCAGTATTATTGTTGCACATAAAGTTGTTAGAGTTTTATGGGAACTACACAGTCTGCCAGAAAAACACAGGACAGCAGTCCAGATTCTTGGACTATGTGACACATTTATGTGAGGTGATGGCCAAGAAGGATTACAGAGTATTAAAAGTAAATGTATATGACATATTTTAGATAAAACTATATACATTACTGTAGGAAGGGAAATAGCTGTACAAATGCCTTCTTAGCAAAGCCAGCTAAAAGCTGCTGTGTAGTCTGCCAAGGTTGTAATATAACCACAAGCATGTGCTGAACACTTCTTAGAGCTCTTAGAATAGAGAAGCTGTTTTCTTTAGCCAGCTGAAAAAGTCCCAGTCTCTTGAAATAACAAAACCATAATTGAGTTAGAGAGACTCTTCTAGCTTTAGCAAACCAGTTGGAAAGATTTCAGCTGATACCTGAATGCTACATTGCTTTATCTGTATTACCCATAACATTTTCTAAACCTATTTTCTTTTAAAGAAGGAATTAGCTGTCACTCTGCCTGCCTGTGGATTTCTTCTATAGATGATGAGATCCTGTAGTTGAGAAAACAACAGCTTCATGCTTCTCATGACGCAGACGCAAAGTGAATCAATATCTCTTCCAGTCTTGCAGACCTGTCGGATCCTGCATTAGGCAGAGTGTTTTCAGGAAGGTGTTCACAGCCCTTGGCTAAAATGGACAGGCAAAAAGTCTTAGTCACCTTCTAAGATCAAATGCTAAATGAGGAAGCCTAACAGTAACTACAGCATATTTCTTCATGGCAGTGTAAATGGCTTTCTTGGGTGCTATTGCAAGCTACTCTGAGCCTCAGCACTATCTAGTGAAAGGATTTTGCTGTTTAAATTCAGGCTAACCAGACCCTTGAGTGTACCACTTTCCCTCAGTTTGGTAAGTCATCCTCTATTTAAAGAGGGTGAGGCTTAGTCTTGCAAGTTTTGTAGTCCTTGCCTTCCCTACATCCTTCCTGTGCATCCAAAAGACAGGGTGTTCTACATGGTGATGGTGAAAAAAATCAGCTTGGCTTAGTGAACAATATTGTCTAATAGGGGTTAAATGAGATGGGGGTACAAGAAAGCCTTGGACTACTACAGTTGTGCAGCCCTTTTCTGGCTTTGGGCAAGCTACAGAGAATAGGCATGCAGCAGTCGAAGAGCAGGAGTAAATGCCAGCACAGCAGAAAAGTGGGAGTCAGTATGATCATGAAATGCCAGAAGCCACCGAGTTCCTCCCGTGGTCAATAAAGCCTGAGTGCAGACACAGCTCTGCTACAGCTTTGTGGTAAAGTTTCTCACAATGTCCAGGCTAACCTGGATGCTCGTATCTTATTGGCAACAGCCACATTAAGTCTGCAATGAAACCACTCTGTATGGACTTTTTAAATACAATCAATTGTTCTCTTCTTCCTCTACCCCCAATATATGATGAAGGGCAGATCCATGGGATGCTTCAGTAAATGCTTCTTCAGTGCTGCCTCCATTTGTAATCTGAATTTTTTAATGGTAAAAACTTTATGCTGTTATAATCAAAATTATTATTTCCCTCCAGATTCACTTTTGAACTTTTGAAGATCTAATACTGAGTTATATTGGTAAACTAACTTTGGATTTTTTTTCCCTTTTATTTAAGGCATGTGTGTATGATTCCAAATGCAATTTGCGTCTGCTCCTCAGATTGTAAAGTGGGCCATGCTAATTTCTGTAATCTCAGCCCCTCAACAGCAGAAAGCGAGTTTGTTTATGAGCATACACTGTATTTTACATCATACTCTTCTGGATAAAGTCAGTCACAGATTAAAGGTAACCTCTAACTTGGCTCTAATAATAATGCAACATAAAGGTGTAGAAAGCAACTGTTGCAGCTTTACTGGTATCCTTCAGATAAAATGATTAAAATTACATCACTCGTTTGGTACGAGAGTCGTTTTAACCGAGCACTGTAAACAGATCAATGTCTCCTGCTTTGCGTCAGCATCTCTATAGTAGCAGGAGACAATTATCATGTGACATCCTATTTACTGCCAGCACCTAACCTGTAAAGCAGTCTTTGAACTGAAGTTGTCTTTAGTGATCCCATCAACACACAATTTATTTTTTTTATGCTTTCTTATACTTCTTTTTTTCTGTAAAGCCCATATTCTAGGCCTGAATGTCACAGGAGTTCTTAGTGAACTGTGCCTAAAAAATAGAGAGGAAATTTGGTGGGCAATTTTGGAGGGCTTAATTTGTGCAGATGTGAGGAAATCCCTGTCTCTGAGTCTGTGGATAAGGACACATCCAGCACTGGAGTGTTTAGTCCTAGTTGTTTAATGGTATTTGCTGTCCATGGATACAATGTCTCTGCCCTACAGTCTCATTTCAGCATCAAAATATCAATCGTATCACATGCTTTCGCATGGTCATTTATAAATGTAACAACACTTTGCTATTGCTTTGTCATCTTGCTGTATGACATACTCCAGATGTCCTGGCTGGCAGAACATTGTTATTAGAACACTACAAGCAAACCTGCCTGAATTTTTTGGTTTTCTTTCAAACTTTTGCTATGTCATCTTGCCAACGAAATTTGCTTTTCATTATCTACACCTCAAAGCTTTAATCCATTTGATCTAACTAACTATTGCTTTCTGCAGGGACTGGAAGAGTAGATGTTTGCTTTCAAGTGGGTTAATTTAAAACAATTAGAGGTGTATCTATGGAAGTCAATGAAAATTTGCTTCTAACATTAGGCAAGGTCAGTTCTATTTCAGCCACTATTACCATATTGCAGCAACCCAAAAAAGCTCCAGATAGTTGAGCTGCTCTGAGTTACTGAGTTCATTATTGCACATAAGTTATCCCATATAAAACACTGACATTAACAACAAATAGCTCTCCATTGTCTTCAGCACTGATTTTGTGACATTAAAAATTCTTACTGTGATTTTCCAAGTACATTTGCTGTTTGGAGGGTAGACTCCAGGAAATCCTTCACTCCCAATAAACCCTGACTCTCCAGATACAATTCCTCCACATGTAAATGTAGGCCTGAGAATAATAGGAAAAATAGTGCTTAATTTTAAAATATATTTCATTTATTCTTTGTATAATAGTAAAGAGGCATTCTTGCTGTCTTATACTTAAAAACATACCTTAAATGCCTAAAAACATTGCTAACTTTAAACGTACGTTTCATCACTTACATAATTTCACTGTTGACATAGAATGTGCAACTTAACACGCAAACTTAGGTGTAGAGAAAATTAACTACTTGGACCATAATTCTGGGTTTACACAGACTGTTATTCTTCCCTCCTTTTTTAATTCATAAGATGTAAGGTGTGATGGTGTGATACATCACTACACATTGCTATTATAATGAAAAAATAACTATTAAAAAGTCATTAGTAATGACTTTTTATGGTATATATAATAGCAGTTTAAGTAGCACAGTAATAAAAATAACTTCTAATTCTGTTCTATTCCACCCTGAAATGCTTTGAATGTAGATATTTCAATCAAGTAAGTCACTTTGGAAGTTTTCTATACCACAGGAACACAATCCACCATGTGCACCAAGTCCTGCTACTCCAGCCTGGTGATGAACGGCACGTCCTCATTTTGCCGGTGTGAGGACGTTCAGGGTGCCCGCCCCTGCCCCGGCCCGGGGCCGCGCTGCGGGGACACGCGAGGAGCCCTGAAAAACCCCTGCGCGGAACCACAGCGTTACTGCTGAGGACACGAGGGTGAGCGAACGCCCTGCTGAGCTTTAGATGTTGGGATATTGTATCATATCACATTATAATGTTATGTTACATATTATATGGGGCTGCTCTCGCAGTGGCCTGTTTCCGTGGAAAAAGCCCCTCTCCGTGCCCTCCCTTGATGCAGTAACGGGCAATAAAACACCCGGGGAGGTGTCCGCGCACCCCATGGACGCGCGGTGGGCACCGCTCCTGCGGAGGGTG